AGACTTGAGAGGTGGAAGGGGTTGAGGAACAAGCAGGTGGGAACACATGGCTTTCTGCACATCCCTGAATTCTAGGAAAACTGAAAGGAGCCTTGTCTTGGCATCTGGTGGAATGATTGGGCTGGGGCAACCTTGCAGAGGCCCCATTCCATAGGGAAAAAGCAGAGGGCTGGGACCAGGGCTGCGTTGGTGCTAAATGGATGGAAAGGGGGCAGCTGTCTCACCATCCTGTAAGTTAGGGATATGGCTTATCGCACAGGCCTAGAGGCTTCTTGTGACCGGGTCCCAGAAAACTTTATTACATAAAAAGTAGATTTACCGCAAATATCCCAGATGACATGGTTTGCCTCTATGTCCCCACCCAAATAAGTGATTGGATTATGGGGTGGTTCCCCCATGCTGTTCCCATGAGTTTTATAAATGGTAGTTTTTACTGCGCTCACACGTGCCTGCTTCCCCTTCCGCCATGATTGTTAAGTTTCCCGAGGCTTCCTCAGATATGCAGAACTGTGAGCCAATTAAATCTCTTTTCTTTATCAATTACCCAGTCTCGGGTATTTCTTTATAGCGGTGTGAAAACGAACTAATATAATACGCCAGGTCAGCTCTATGCCAGTCCCCTAAAAGAATCATCTACTAGAGATGCTCAGTGGCAGTGCTGGGTACCAGCCCTTCTTCCTGCAGCTTGCAAAAGCGGATAGCCAATACTCTATCTCACCTGCCCATAAGTGGGCAGCATGTGGTAGTAGAGGCTCCTGCTGGTCTGGAGAGGAGAGAGAAGAGGCCCTTTCGGGAATGCAGTCCCTGGAGGTTTCTCCTTCCCTGCCTGAAGGATTCCAGAGGTCTGAGATAAACCCCAGGCAGTAGTCCAGCAAAGACGCTTTGGGCTGTATTCCTCTGGGAGAGAGCAATTGCTAGAGAGAGATTTTATTTTAAAACCCCCATTCCTACTGGGGGAGGGAGCAGTGGTAGCAGGCATTGGGAAAAACTGTATTTGAATGAGGAAGGAGGCATTCAGCTAGATGTGCGTATCCTTTCACACTTTCTGCTCTTCCACATTTGTTCTCTATCATACCCTTAAGAATTATTACTGAAAAACTCCAAGGGCATGCGTTAAGATCACAGTGACTCCTAACATCAACTCTCCTTCTATGTTTTTCCTCCCAAGACTTTCCACTGGGTCGAATTTTAAATTTGAACAATGGTTCAAAGGCTGAGAGACAAACTGCTCATTACTGGAAAGAGTGCCAGGAATCCTGGGAAGCAGGCCTCCCTCCCCACCGGAGCACTGCACCTCATAGTAATGGCCTCTTTCATAGTCACGGAAAGGTTGGATCAGCGTTTCTTTTCATTCCTGTCTTTTTTCAGGGACTGCTGGGATAAAAGGAAGTCTAGAAGAATAAAAAATTCACAAACAGGACAAGAATAAAATATTTAGGGCAAGAGATCAGAAATCCTTTGGTTATTCAGTGAACTGAACTAACTCTACTTTTTTAAAAAAAAGTACAAGGAAATAAATGTCCATCAAACGCCATATCACAGTGGGATTAGCCTGTCGACCCCATCACACAAGATCTGAGGCTAGGTTATCATGCCTAGTAAGTTGCAGTAAGAGAAACTCAGACTAACCCAGTGATAAGATGGAACAGTTTTATAATTATTAATTTCATTCCCAATATTTCCTACATCTTTATTCTGAGACGCTTTCCACCAAAGTTGTCAAATGACCCATTTCCTCTCACTTCACACTCCCAAATCCAATCAGTGATGAGTAGAAGGAATGGAAAGGTTATTTGGTGCCATAAAGAAAACCCAGTCATTTTGGAGGAGCAATTCAGGCTTTCCATCATTAGTTCCCGTCGCCAAGAACAAATATTGGTTTCCGAAAGGGAAGACAGGGTTAAAATGACATGGTTGAGAAGTACATACTGGGCCAGGGGTGGTGGCTCACGCCTGTAATCCCAGCACTTTGGGAGGCCAAGGCAGGTGGATCACCTGAGGTCAGGAGTTTGAGACCAGCCTGGCCAACATGGTGAAACCCCATCTCTACTAAAAATACAGAAGTTAGCCGGGTATGGTGGCGGGCGCCTGTAATCCCAGCTATTCAGGAGGCTGAAGCAGAAGAATCGCTTGAACCAGGGAGGCGGTGAGCTGAGATCGCACCACTGCACTCTAGCCTGGGTGACACAGCAAGACTCCGTCTCAAAAAAAATAAGTACATTACTAACATTTATCCCTTTATGCCCTTTTTTCCCACCACCACACCCAGCTAATTTTTATATTTTTAGTAGAGATGGGGTTTCACCATGTTGGCCAGGCTGGTCTCAAACTCCTGACCTCAGGTGATCCACCCGCCTCGGCCTCCCAAAGTGCTGGGATTACAGGTGTGAGCCACTGCACCCGACCTTTATTCCCTATTAATGTGATCTTCTTGGAGTACTTGTTGGAAAGCACTTTAAACATCTGGCTTTTACGCAGCAGTCAGAAGGATTTTTTTACACCCCAGAGCTAAGGTTAATTTGATCAAGAGACTAGGTCCCTCCCAGAGTGGTCAAGAAGTGGTTAGGTACTATAAAACCATGGCATTGTTTCTAGTCACACTGCATCTGATTTGGTTGTGTGGTAGCCCTAGGTTGGCATTGCGAAGGCTCTTGTCCAGGACCTATCAATAAGTATGGTTTAAACATTCCATGCCCAAGTAATTCAAGCTAAAAATAACTTTATGGGCTACTTTTATCTTTACTCATCCACAGAAAGCATCTGTATGTCAACAAGAACTTTGCTCCTTGCCTGTTTTCACTCCAGCTTACTCCTCCCTGAAAAGAGTTGTTTGATACAATTGGAAAAATCACCCGGTTGGTGTGAGACATTCACAGCAACAAAACTATGTTGGTAGAACAAAGCTTCCTGACTGCCAGGTGCCCAGAGAAAAAGAGGAATAAAAGAACCCAGCATTCACAGATAGGACCACTTGATTCTGCATTCTCCTCCTTTCTTACAAATACACACAAATCTTTGACCACAGTATATCTGATTTATACACAGAATTAACTTCTACATTAATAATAATTAACAGTTGAGTGCTTATTACATGAGGTACTCTTCTAAGAGCATTAACTCATTAATTTTCACAACCCTATGAGATAGATCCAATTATCCCAATTTTACATTGGAAAAACCTGAGGCACAGAGAGATGAAGTAACTTGTCCAAGGTCCCACAGCTAAGTGGCAGAGCCAAAAACACAAGCAGGCCAGGTTGTGGTGGCTCATGCCTGTACTCCCAGCACTTTGGGAGGCTGAGGCAGGAGGATTGCTTGAGGGCAGGAGTTCAAGACAAACCCAGCCAACATAGCTCACTTTTTATTTGCTTTTTATAGTAAAATAAATAAATAAATAAATGAAGGAAGGAAGATGCCAAGTGGCCTGGCTCCAGGGCCCATGCTGTAACTACTACACTATACTGCTTCTGCAACAAAAAAAAGAGAATGATCTTTTCTAATTCCTACAAAGCTTTATCCTCCTATCAAGTATGCCAATTTACATTCTTTAAGCAGACACATGGACCCAGGTTCATCTTAATGTGAAACCAAGGATCAACTTTTGTCTCTTCCAAAACACATCAGCTCTCTTACACACACCAAATGTTACCCCCTTTCAAACATAAAATACACTGAGATCGCTGTTCAAGCATCATACTTTCTAGCAACCGTAAATGTTTGCAGAATTAAGGCCCTGGACACCTTCTTCAGTTTAAGCAGTCAGCACTTGATGGATCTTTTGTAGCTGTAACAGAATTTAAGTAGCTACTGTCTGAAAGAAAAAGTCAATTTAACAAGACCCTAATTTGAGAATGTTTAGTTCTATAAATACATTATAATGGCGACAGAGCGTAAAGTAGAAAGTTCCCTATGCTTAAGGAACCACTAATAGATTTGCTGAAATATCAAGGCCTATTCAGCTAAAACAGAAGTTCATATAATTGGGAGTTAAGGCCAAGACACCATTCATATGCCTCTTATACTCGAAGGCTATGACCTTTAAACCTTTGTCTCTTTCTTCAATCTCTCCCATCTTTTAAACACCCTACATACTCATAAGTTGTTAGAAACCAGCGCCACCTTTTAAAGTCCTGGCAACTGTACCGTATTTTAAACACCATTCCCTGATTGATTTGCTTCTGAAATAGATTATTGAATACCTTTCAAACACTGAACATGAAGAGACAAACAGCTCTTAATGGCAGTGATTTTAGTAAAATTGATGCATGTTTTGGCTATCATCATCTAAGTGTCTACCATGACCAAACACTGATGTCACCATTTGAGTAACAAAACGAATCAGGAAGTTTTGCTAAATGAGAATTTGCCCAGCCCTCCTTCCTTATCTGGTTTGATGCAAGCAATTTCCCTCTCACCAACACATTTACTTTCTAGATATAAGAGAAAAATGGAAAATTTACATCCTGACATCCACTGTAATGCAGAGGTGGACCTGACAATTTGGACAAGTCAGTCTCTTTCATCTTCCTATGTCAGTTCGAATGGGTTTTTAAGGTAAACTACTATCTAAACATTTTTTTTTTCAATTACAAAGCTAAAAGATGACCCATATTAATAGCTTAACAGGAAACAAAGTTTTGCTGAAAAACATTTTTGCAGATAAGCAGGGCTTCAAAAGCTGATGGTTAAATTACTTAATAATATACACCCACATATTGGGTGACAAATTGGTCTAAACTGACCTTAGAAAAGCCAGTTGTAGCGGTAGGTTTCAAGAACCTGGCAGGTCGCTGATATTAGTATCTAATAGCATTCCTCTGATCTAGGAGGAAAAATTAAACGTCTCTCTTGATACTTAGTGGAGTCAGTAAACAATGTTCTCAGTCTGCGAATGACTGATATTAAGAACCACACCTTCAATTTTCTAGCCCAGGCCCTGGTTTCCCTCCTCCCACTTCCCTCCCAACCCAGACAGGTTATTGCAGACAAGCAGGCAGTTACGTTGCTTCAAAATATTTAATACGTGTTAGACACGTAGAAGTTACATTTTTATACAAAAATCAATACAACGAAGGAGAAAATACTGTACAAAAACCTTATCAGCTCCCCCAACCTTTATATAACAAAGACTGGAGTCACCATATCTACAAAACCATAAGGTCTTTCCACTTCGGGCTTCTGTCTGTAAACTTTCATTAAACACTTTTTAAAAGCACTGTGTAGTAGTTCTGACCTAGAGCTTTTAAAAATATATCTTTTCTCTATAAACTCCATTATTTCCAAGCTTGAACTCTTCTGTGAAGTTCAAGCTTTTTCTCCCCTGCGGGGAAGCAAAGGACGGTTAATATGCCCCTTTCCTAGAGTAATCACAGGATATAAACGTTTCTTCATTGGGAGAGAAAGGTGGGGAGGGACAGAAGGAATCCAAGTCTGTGCTGCTGGCTAAATCCCTCTCGTCTTAGGAAATCCTGTGCGGAAACGCCACTCCTGGCCCTGAAGCGGGTCTAGCTTTCCGGTGAGGGGTGGGTGTAAAGTCCCTCCCTCCCCGGAGAACGAATGGGGAACTCCCCGGCCCAAACCTTTTAGCCGCTTCCTTCTCCACGCAGCCGGCAGAGGAAAGTCCCTGTCTGCCCCCAATCTCTTAAGCCCTGGGGAAGGAGTGGTGCATTCCAGAACAAAATAGTCTTAATGCCACAAGACAAACTTACATACACAGACATACACAAACACAAAAAGTTAAAGATCGTCCTCTTCCAATGAGCCTCAAGCTCCCAGGTCTCCAGAAAAGCCAGATGCGCCCGGGGGCAGTTTGTGATGCCCAGCGGCAACCAGTCTGCCTAACGCGCTCAGCGGCCGCGGTCTCTGGGCGTCCTCGCAGCCGGCAAGGGCCCGGCCCTCACTTCGAGGACGCCCGCTGCTCAACCTCCTCCCCGCACGGGGGCCAAGGGCTCAGAAGGCCACGATGGCTGTGCTCCAGGGGTTCATGTCTCTCAGCACCGGCTTATCGCAGCAGATCTGCCCGGGCTCGGCGGCTTCCGGGCCGCTCTCCTCTCCCTCCTCTTCCTCCCTGCCGCCCCCGGGGCTTTTCCGTAGGAGTCCCGAGAAACTGGAACCGAAGATGCTGATGAGGTTAGCCACGTTCCCGGTCTCCATCTCCTCCGCGTCGTCGTCCTCTCCTCCACTCGGCGGCTGCTCTAAGTTCCGGCGGGGCTTCTTGAGCGGGGTCGAGCCGGGCGCCGGGCAGCCCGCTGG